TGACCATATATACCTTAATGGCCAGCTGCAACTGCATAATCAAATTTTCTTTTATGGTTTTATTTCCCACATTAAATGGTCTAAACAACCTTGCTTTATTTTTTTAGGGGACCATTTTGCTTTCATTTAATTAGTAATTATCAAATTATAAAATCACCTACAAATTTCAAGAATCATTTTGTAAATAGTTTAATATATATGTATTCTCAATGCATAAAATCATTTTCTTAATTCTTTCTATCAAATATAGAACAATTAAAAAAAAAGTACAGTTGTACCTAATTTACCTTTTTACGTAATCTTCCTTCTTCAAATACTGATCATGATGACGAGTGAAGCTAATTATGAGTAACTTGTAATCTAGTTCAGATCACTTTTGTTCCTTTGTAAAGCTTTAGTGTTCATCATCCTATCTAACCTTTTATGGCTGCTTGAAGCATATTAAAACGGTAGAGGATAGAAAACTATTCTCCACCCTCTAATCATAAATAAATAAATAAAATGTACAGAAGCTTTGCATATCACGTGTCACATGACATTTATGGAATACCTAATACATTAACTTATCAACAAAACATCATTACCAAAATCAAACCAAAATATGTTTTGTGGCCACCATTGGATGTGGGAGCTAAACATGGTACAATTTGAACAACCAAACCTTGGGTACTAATTATATCTTCTGGTTTCGTTTCCTTTCATGTGTGTGTGAATGACTCTTTTGTAGCACATACGTTGTCCATTGTCCTTTCTCTTAATACTCACAAGATCCCTAACAGGTCTAGTGCTGTCTCTCTTACAAATTACAATCAAATTTAACTTTCATAATTGTCCCAATGAATTATGCTAGCTAATAAAGTGTCCTATAAAGGAACACCTACTTCACTTTGATAATGCCATTGTTAGGTTATGTGAGGTCAGGGTCTTCCCAGAGGATAAACCAACCTCCAATGCATGTTTGTTAAATGCAAATTACTTCTCCCACTGGAAATAGGACATCACTCTCCTTCCCAACTCTATTCCAATATTCAGAACATCATCCGATAACGATTCAATAATATGTAAAATGATAGACAAATAAATTTTGGTAAGATAAACTCTGTCAAAAAAATTTGTCTAACTCAACTTTTTATAAAATTAAATTTTAAGGCAAAGTTGAGTTAGGGTTTTGGAAACAATCATTATCTCTACTTTCCTCCATGTAACAATTCATTAGGGTTTTGGAAATTAAAATCGTACAAACAAATGAAATCATTTCAGTTTATAAATGATTATTTTTGTGGTCCTAATTAAAATCGCCTCATAGTCTAACATGATTTTTTATAAAGGACGAGAAAACAAAAACAAACAAAATTAAAATCACGGTAATTTGCAATAATCCTTTTAAATTAGAAAAGATTTGATTACTTTTAACTCTTATCATAAATAGCATAATCCTATTAAAAACTACGGTCGTTTGCAATTTTTTGAAAAGCTCGGAGGATTTTGATCGTAATTCTAATTAGAAAAAAAAAGTAATAATTTTATTTAGGAAAATCGATCAAAAACTCATTCTAAATGTTATTGTGACTAATGTTAGAGTTAATATTTTTGTAAAAATATCTTATTATTTAAATGTTATTTTAAGTAGTTTATTAACAAGTAGTTTTCACTTTTTTCATTCATTACATTTTGCAAAACAAAACATTTTTCGAATTTTGATTCTTTTCGTCATTCTTTTCATTCTCACCTCCAAAAATTTGCATGATTCACACTCCATTCATAATTTGTTGATGTTGGGGATCATAAACTTTATGGCTACTTAAAAGATCCTCGAGGACCACCATCATTTACTTCATTTTAGATTAGAGTGTAGAGGTATAGGAAGAATGGAACTTGCAAAGTACAATTGAACGACCATTTAATTGTTGCAAAGCTAAGTGGAGAATATTGACAACATGCTACAATTTCGATTCAAGGCTAAGACTTATATATCATTATTGTTTGTATGACTTTTCATAATTTCATTAAAAAATGGTACTAGTACCGAAGAATTTTGCTTATTTGATGGATATGTTGTTTTAGAGAACAATGTTGATTTAGATGATAATGCAATTGAAGATGTCACATGAGAGAAACCAAGTCAATAAAATATTAGAAAATTGGAGTGGTTATTCATATTTTTATTTTTTTATGTTTTTATTGATAAGTGTATGATGTTTTTTATTATTATTTTTAATATCATTATATAATATATATGAAATATATTTTTAGATTTATGACTCTCAATTTTTCTTTTCCTGGCAATAAATGAGGTAAATGATAATAAGATTTATTTTAGTTTTAATAATTTTATGATATATATAAATAAGTGTGCACATATTTTTATTTTAAGTTAATATTTTTAAATATATTTAATCATTCAATTTATACTTGAATAGCATTCACTCTTTCAATAAAAATATTTTTTAATCAGAGTATTTAAATGATAATTCTTACTATTATATCTTTTACATAAATAATAACCTTTTATCAAATTAATAATATCACTATTTTATAAATAAGATATGCTTTGGGAAATCAATAACCTTCTATCATCATAACCATATCACTGTTTAGAATGTTTTGAAAATGATAGATTTATCTAAGGGAAACAAATTAATCATTCAATTTAAAATCTTATCTTGATAGATTTTTATTAGTATTTTCTACTTATATATTATTCAACTTCATCATTTTTATTAAATATAAGATTTTAATTTAGACTTGAATTTTATGTATTTGTTTTTCAATTTGCAAAATGAGGAGTGTTTATGCAACAATCTCTCCAAACACTTTAAAATTGTGTAATCACGTTCGAAGATACATACCTATATGCCAATAACTTGTTGAATTTGAGAATTTATAACATTAATTCTTACGTAAAAAATATTTATGAAAAAAAAATATTAGTTAAGTTTTCTCATGCACGACGTAAAAGTAATTAGTATTGATTTTTTTTTTTGGAATAAACTATAAATATCGTATACGAGAAACAATTATGTTCAGATACATATTCAGATCAGTTTTGAGGTTATTAGTTAAGCTATAACAATATTGTGCCAATTGATATATATATATATATATATATATATATATATATATATATATATATATATATATATATATATATATATATATATATATATATATATGGTGATGTTAGTTTTGGAACAAAATTCAGTTGAATTAAATATAAAATTAACTTGTGCTTTAGTTTACATGTAACATTAAAATCTACCAAATTGATATCTTGTAGTTCAATTTATCAACACAAAGTACAATTTAATAACTAAGTGTATAGTTAGTACGTTGTATGCTTTGAAATAATCAAGTTCTATTTAAGATATTTGTGTTAAAATCATTTCATATCGGTTACATATTAGGGATGGCAAAACGGGTTAGGCCCGGCGGGCCGGCCGCCAGCCCGCCATAATATGGCAGGGCGAGTTGGTGTTTTCAGCCCACCAGCCCGCTTTGGCCCGCCCGCCAAGCCCGCCAACCTGTCGGGCCAACCCGCGGACTGAGCGGGCCAGCCCGCAACCCGCCTAATTAATAAAAAAATAATTTTTTATTGTAATAAAATTAATTATAAAGATAATATATTAAGTTAAAAATTTTAAAAAGAGAATTAAAAAAGTTTCATTCTCACATAAAATATTCTCCTTCCCGAAATATAACCTTCTCTCTTGTTCTCCTTATTTATCCTAAACACTGATTATTTTTATCCTTATTACTTGAATTAACGGTGTAAGAATTACTCAACCAAGAATAATATGAAGTTTTATCAAATAAAAAAGATATAGTTATTTGAATTTTTCAATATAAAAAATATTAATTTTATAAGTTTAACGTTATATATATATATATATATATATTTGTTATTATTTATTATTATGTAAATTTTATTATTGTTCTAAATTATAATTTCTTAAAATAATGTATTGATTTATATTATTAAATTAAAATAATATATATATTGAATTATTGACAAACAAATAATAATCTTATTATTAAATTTATTTAAAAAAATTGTTTTTTTCTAAATTATGCGGGTGGCCGTCAGCCACGCTAACCCGCTTCATGGCGGCGGCTAAGGTCTACAACCGTCATGACTATATCGGCTAGCGCACGCCGCCACGTCTTTAGCAGGCCAAAGGCCGACGGGCCAAAGCGTTGCCATCCCTATTACATATAGAACAACAAAATTACATATAGATGGATTTGATGACTGGTCCATCAAATCAATATATTAGTTTGTATGAATGTTTTGTAACCATTATGAAAATTTCGTAATAGTACATTAATGATGAACATATTCAAACTTGCAGGACAAAAAAGTTAACATTGCAATAAAGTTTGATGCATTTAGAAAGACTACATACAAATATTCACCACAAATTCAAAATAACATAACCATTAAAAAGTAACATGATTTGTGTAAGAAAACTTGTTCTTCTATCACTAGACGTTGATTAGATTTGTTAAATTTTAGAAGGGATTTTAGAAGGGATTAGGGGAGTTTTAGCCTGACTCTATGGTCATGTCATGTGAAGGAAGTAACAAATAATCGAGTGAAGAGATTAGGCAGGATGAGAATTTTGAGAAAGAGAAAATGAATTTTAGAAGTGCTTTCAATGAGCCAAATGTAGCAAAATGGCTTTACAATGGCACTCACATTTCCAATCGATACCTTATTTTGAAAGAACAAAGGGTCATAACAAGGTTACCGCAGTTCCTTAGAACGGGATTGTTTTCATCCACAGGCATATCGAATCTCCGTAATCGTATAAAGGAGGAAGCAAATTATGAGTAAAAAAAGAATGAAACTGAATCGACGGTGGAGATAGAAGGAACCCTCTTGAACTGAAATCGGTATTTTTGAAATTAAAAAGAAAAAAAAAAATGATATTCCAGAGCACGGGGCCCTCAAAAGGGTGGTGGTCCCAACCTTCCCTTTAACCTTACCTCAACGAAACTGTATGGCTAGAACCGTACGCGTATGACTCAACAGTAGTAGAGTAACCGTAGCGTAGCAACGTTGCTTTCGCAGTACTTCAAATGGCTGAGAAGCAATCTCAGAGACAGAATCACAGAACCGGAGAGCAAGAGAAAGAGAAAGAGATAGAGAGAGAAATTGATTGACCGCCATTGAAGCACTTCTTCTTCTTCTTCTTCTTCTACAACTACAATCTCACTCGCAACAAAATTCCACACGCACATTCTTCATTACTCATTTTCTCCAATCTTCACTATCCGGTTCATCGCTGTTACAGTTTAGAACTCGTATAATTAACACAATTCGAGGTGAATCCGGTTCAATTGGAACTTCTACTCTTCGTTTTGTTCGCTCAATGGACCAAGCTCCGGTAGGATTGCGCGGATCCGTGCACGACGGCGCCACACTCGAGTCCATTCAATTCAACGAAGAAATTCAGGGAATCGTGGCGTCGGCGCCGGAAAACGCCAGCTCGTTCACCGCGCTGCTTGAGCTCCCGCCGACGCAGGCGGTGGAGCTCCTTCACTCGCCGGACTCTGACGGGGCTCGTAAACAACCTAATTGCCACGTCAGCGCGAATCACAAACCCTATTTGCTCCACTCTTTCGGTGGCAATTTGACTTTTCCTTCCAACGCCGCCTTAATTGAACGCGCCGCCAAGTTCTCCGTGTTCGCTGGTGAAAACTCGCCTTCGCAGGGGGAGGCGCGTCTGCTTCCGGCCGGGTCTGGTTCGAATTTGGATAGGGTGAAGAACGAGCCGCAAGAGACTGATTCGAACCCGTGCTCCACGCAAGGGTGCGTTTCGGATCCCGCGGTTGAGAACAAGAACGAAAGAACTGCGAAGAGAAAGGAGCGAGAGAAGAAGGTAACGGTAACGTTAATGTTAACCTCCCTAACTCCAACATATTGGATAATTAGGGTTTCCGCTTACCATAGAATGAATGCTCAAAACGTGAAATAATAGACGATTTCGTGGAATTCAGGTTAAAGGGTCGTCGAAGAAGAGTAAGAGCGTCGCCGATGAGACATCCGGCGACGGTGAGAAGCTTCCCTACGTCCACGTCCGAGTTCGTCGAGGTCAAGCCACAGATAGCCATAGCTTGGCAGAAAGGGTAAACGCTAGATTAATCACTAATTAATTTATGTAATTTGGATTACTTTAGTGTATTTTGTAGTTTTACCAAGTTTTAATATATTTTTCAATTATTTTGTTATGATATAACTTGACTGAGTTTCTTTCTGTTGTAGGCTAGGAGAGAGAAGATCAACGCTCGCATGAAGCTTTTGCAAGAGCTGGTCCCAGGCTGCGACAAGGTTGGTCTCTCTTCCTTTCTTGTCTTAATCTTAAAACCTTAAATTCTTTAGTTATCTGGATTGATTAATTAAGTGTGCTTTGTTCATCTTTCTTTTGGATTATGATGCTTTTCCGTCTAAATTGTCTCCCAAAAGTGCAATTATATATCGAGGTTAGGAGCTTTAACAACGGTTTTTGTCACTTGTCACCTTTTCAACCCCTAAAAAAAAAAGTGTTTGCATTTACATCAAGAGAAGTGCTTACTGGCACCGAGTGTCAAACGTGGCATTTCTGTAATTTCCCCCTTTCTTTTGCTTTTTGCCTTTTTCCGGTTTCTTTCTAGTGGGTGCTTACAATTTTTCTCAATGGTTAGTTTAGTCATTTCAGACTTCAAACTTTTAAGATCTTTCTCTGATAGGACGTTAACCTGAATGGGGAGGCAAATAAAGGGAGCTTTTTGAACAATTTGGTCACTTTAAGAAATAACAAATTAGATTTTTTTTTTTATGATTTTGGGCCTTTTCTTAAAGAATTGGAAGACACCTCCTTGTAAGTTTCGGCCCATATTCAAACTTGGAAGCCCATAAACCGACTCTAAGTTAGCTTGTGTATTCTAGGCCATATTTTAAGTATTGACAGAAAAAATAAATGTGGAAGTTCATAAGATATCTCTGGGATACACTAAAGTGTACCATCCTACCAAAGAAGCCTTAGATGTTGTTCACCAAGAGCCACTCGTCGTTTTAACCTAATTTTATGTTAATAAACTAAATAATGTACTAAAATAGCTTAATTTTTAATTAGTATTATTTTTTTACATAAAGTAATATATATTTTTATTTACTCTTCCAATTATTTAAATAAGTAAAAAAAAATCCCCTTTTTTGGTTATTTTTAATTTAAATAATAAATTTATTTATTTTACTTTTCTTTTTATGATGATATTATCTTTGTTTTTTTCTTGTACAATTATTTATTTTCTTTTATATATTTTCTCTGCTTCATTGCACAGCCTAAGTGGACAACTCTTAATAATGCACAACTTCATGTGTAATCATGTATACGCCACGTGAAGTTGGGCCGTCTTTACAAGGCTACACTTGATTGGATACTTGGGACACGTGTTGTCAATCAGTTAAAGGCATAACTTTTATTTTTCAAACAACTAATGCACGATTTTTTAGTTTTGAGGTGATAAAAAAATATGATGTCGATGAAAAAAACAAAAATGTAGGGCTTTCACTATTTAGCAAGCAGTACTTAAGAAAATACTTGACTCCACACGGCTTCTTACAAATGGCCCTTGTGCTCTTCACAAAGTGCTATCACGTGGTGAAGGCCCCAACACTGGCAATTATTCGTGTGTTTATATGTTCTTAAAAATAATTTAAAAATGTATTTTAAATCATTATTAGTATGAAAAAATAGTTAATTAAATAGTTAATTTAGACATACAATTAGTGAAGTAAACTAAACTTGTAAGAGCTTTCAGGGAGTGGTGATTGAGCTGCCAACACTTGGACATGGATCTCAGTCTATGTCACAGGAGCCTAAAAGTAAAAATAAATATATGAATGGATTGATTTACTTCATCATGGGCCTCTACCGGTTGAATAAAGGAAAAGGATAAAAAAATAAAGGAAGGAATAAAAAGGTGGAATTATTGATACGGATGATAATTGGTAGTGTTTAAATAGGAAATAGAGCATAGGTGTTCATATCCAATCTCAAGATAAAAAAAAAATTGTAGAAAATTTCTTACTTTGAATTGTAGAGGTTTTAATAGTGTTCTTAAATTTAAGATCAGATCTTATAATAATATTTTATTTGAGCATGTTGATGTGATGCTGTATAAGAACTGAGTCTTACATAAAAACCCAAGTTTTAAGAATAAAAAACAAATTTTCAATATCAACGACCGTATCTTCATAACACCAATTACACAGGGAAAATAAGTTCAAGTGACATTGTGAGTTCTTATAAGATCTCAAGATTGGGACAAAACTTGTAAGAGTTGCTTAAGTGTGACCTCACATTGTAAAATCTAGAATAAAATCTTATAAAAGTTTTTATAAGACACTTGCATTGTGTAGTATAATATTAGAACCTATGGACATGGATTTATTACTGGCCTCTTTGGTTTGACTTAAATATTTTGTGCTTTAATGATGGACTCTTTTTAACAATTTTCTAAAATAAGACATTATTTAAATGATAAAGTTAAATATGAAAAATCAAATACTTACTGAGGACCAGGCAGACTTAATTGCTTTGCTGCTGAGGATCAATCAAGGGCTGACTTCACAGATGTTGAACAAATTTAGCCCTATTACGAATATATGTTCTTAAGCAATTTGGCTTCTCCTGTGCTAAAAAAAAAAAATTCACTGTTGAGAAGCCAGACTAGCTTTTAAGAATCCCGTCCGTCATTGAAGTTCCTCCTAGCATAAATTTGACTTGAATATTTGAAAAAAAGAATTTAATTAAACGCAGAAAAGAAAACTGGTTCTCCAAAAAATTTGACATGTAGAATATTACATATAATCAATCAGTGGTAGTTTTTTAGTGTTAAGGTCGTTGCTGTTTATCGAATAGGACGATATATGCATACACAAAACAAGTCGTGGATTATACACGACAATTGTGGTAGTCCCCTATGGTTACTTTATCGAACCATCTGGCTTATTTAAGAGACAGAATGGTGGGCGTGTGGGGGCGGAAGTGACAAGGAAGGGGGGCAGGGGGTTCTACTTGAACTTCTTCTAACTAAGTATCCATAGCCCTGGGTCCTTTGACAAGTGAAGTTAATATTTTGTCCATTTTTTTGATGGTGATGGTATCGTTATCTTTACCAGTTGGGTATCCATCATTTATGGAAAGAAGAAAATGGGAGAAAAGAATGCGTATTTTTGGAGTGCAGCTGCCAACCAGCAGACCTTTCACCTAACTGCCCTGGGTCATTTGTACGATCGAATTAATGTCACTTAGCACATTTTATATAATAATGATAATAATAGTAGTATGATAGTAAAATTAATGTCACCATAACATAAACTAAATACGTTATCCTCGAAAAATTTGTCCCAATCCCAATAAAACAGCTTATAATGACTGCATGTACATTGACATGGAAGGTTAAATTTGAAGTGTTTATAAATATACATGGAGAGAGAGGAGGGAGATTCATTTTTCAAAAAATAAAAATTAAAGACTTATTTTTCATCTTTATCATTATTTTTTTTATGCAATTGTCCGAAATAATAACTTAGCTATAAACATCATATACTTCACAATGTTCTATAATTGAAATCACATTTGCATATTTATATGTAAATTGCTGACATATTTGACAGTTGAAAAGTAAGCAACATAAACAAGAAAAGATTTATCAAACAAAAAGTAACATATTTCAAAATTCAAACTAATAACAATTTTTTTTTTATGGTATAAGAACTAATGCAAATTTATATATATATATATATATATTGGTATTGGAAGAACTAATGAAAATAACCTCTTCTATCCGTTATTATTTGTGCAAATAAACGAGGTAATATTTCATTCATAATGAAATGGTGTTTCCCATCAATCGATGAAAAGGCCGGCCTGGTGCTATAAAATTCCCACTATTTGCGAGTTTTGAAATGGGTTCAGAAGAGGCTATAGCAGATAGCATATGCTGATTCATGACCTGAGAGAAGAATGGTTATTGAAGCTTTAATCAACATTTTTCTTTATTTTTTTGTTTGCTTGGTGAATAAGCTTCATTTAGTTTTAGTTTTAAGTAGTTTGGATCACTAACATGGTTCTCTTCGCTAATCGAATCAAAACTGCACTTGCATTTTAGCACCATTTTTGTTGTATTTTCCAAATCTAAAATTCGGGGGTTGGTTTTAAATTGAGTTGTCAACAATATGAGGAAACAAAAATTATGATGCATTTACATGATATGGAAGCACTATTTGAATCAGTCTAGTAGGTACTATTTCGGAATGTGAGGGAAGAATAACATGGTACAAGTTATTACCATGTACCATTTTCATCACGCATGCATACATGCTTAAGTCTTGTTTGTTCCAAAAATGAGCCCTTGTTTTTTCTTTCATATGGAAGCCTTAATCTCAAAATCTGATATACAGGTCACACAATGCCTGTTATCTTTAACAGAGAGAACTTTTCCAAGCTTCCTTTTGTCTTTTCAGACCACGAGTAATGTGATGAAGCAATATGTATCAATATGTATCGAGGAGGATTGTCTTAAGTTTGGGAATTAGTTTTCAAGGAGGGGACTTTTGCTTTATGCACTACTGTTGTTCTATACAGGATGTGATTATTTTGTACTTTCGGGTGGTGAGAAATAAGGCACTTCTTCTGCTTCATTCTGATCTACTTTTGCACTAATAAAATTCTTTTAGCCTTTTAAAGAAAATATGGAAGCCTTAATTTCAGAGTCACTATAATTTAGTTGTGCATTTGGATTGTGTTAGTATTCTCAAAATAGCTAATGCAGGTGAAGTATAGCTGAGATGAATTGATTTATTGTGCAGATATCAGGAACGGCAATGGTTCTAGATGAAATCATCAACCATGTGCAATCTCTACAACGACAAGTGGAGGTCAGACTCTCAAATTGCATATATGTTGCAAAAGTATTTTTACAATCAACAGGCTATACCTGTTAATTATTATCTATTTGGTTCCCAATCAATTGTGGGATATGCTTATAATTTTTTTAAACAAATAAAGCATTGATTTCCTGTAACTGTAAGCAAGAATTTAGCATTAACAGTGATGGGCCTATTGTGGACTTGAGGCATTGTAAAAGTTTCCTAATGGGTCGTCTACCTACTATTTTCCCCTCATATTGTGGACTTGAGGCATGACACTACTAGACTTGTTCATCTGTTTGTGCATTGAACATGCTCAAAAGTTGCCATATTCTTGTACTTCGAGTAATATTTTGTGTACTTCAACTTTCATGAATATGATTTTGTTCTCACTGATTTTTGCTTGGCTGCAGATTTTATCTATGAAACTGGCTGCAGTTAACCCAAGAATTGATTTCAGCCTTGACAGCTTATTGGCGACTGATGTGAGTTATAAATTAATCCAACTTACTCAATTTTATATTCTGTTTAAAAAAATAAATCTTTGTATTTTTGACTGGGGGAGTAATCTGAAGACCTAAATCATTTATGTTAGCTAAAAGGCGTCTGAGGGATAATGCATGACCTTTCATTCTGAAACAGTTTTTGTTTTGCCTTCATGGTAGCCATTGATGCCATAAGTTTTATGCATCATGTAGGTGAAATGAGCTTGACAAAGTACTCAAAATGTTATTATCATCCTATTCAATTGTCTTTCCTTAATTAATAGTTGTCTGAAAACGGGCATGGTACACGTGGGACACTGAAAGAGATGCTTGTAGACAGTTACAGTGATTTATGCCATTCTGTTGGATGTCATTCCAGAGCAACTAAGAAACAGTATGAACATTGCACTCAGTAGCAATGTGCATGTCAGACAGATGATTACACTTGATTGGTTGAATCCATCCTAGTTTTAACTACATATCCTTTGGCATATTTTATTTTTATTGAAGTCATTGCATCTTTAGCTAAAGGAGGAGTTGGATCATGTGTGATTTCGTGAAGTACAATGCTGAGAACTGCTGATAAAAATTAAAATATCCTTTGTAACTTACAGGGGACATCTCTAATGGATAGTAACATACCTAGCATGGTGACACCTCTTATGTGGCCAGAAATTCCTGTCAATGCTAACCGGCAACATTATCAACAACAGTGGCAATTTGATGCATTCCACCAACCGCTATGGGAGAGGGATGAAGTCAACCATAATTTCATGACTCCCGAAAACTCACTTTTGAGTTATGATTCGTCGGCAAACTCAGGTAGATTAGAATTTTAGCCTCTATTGTTTAATCTCAAAAGCCATGTTTAACAAAAAACATTCTGATTCTGTGCATCATGTTTCGTACTGCCATTGTTAATGGACTTCATAAATAGATATTGATAGTTGCTGTTTTCTGTCTCTTCTAATAAGCAACCGGAATGATCAATTTATTGAGCAATTAGCATCTTTCTAAGAACCCCGTATAATTTTCATCACCAATACAAGAGTCTTTTACTTTGGTTTTATGTTTCATTATCAAACACACGCATATAATAATTTAATGTGTACATGTTTGTGAAAATGCTTTTGTGCTGTTTCGGTTTAAACGGGGAAATAATTTAATGTATACATGTTTGTGAAAATGCTTTTGTCTGTTTTGGTTTAAACGGGGAAATTATTTTTACCACGGACATAAAAGAGAAGTCCTGGTTCATGTTTGTTATTCTTCTTTTATTATACATACGGATATGCTTATATTGGCCAAGATTGGAAAAGTTATTTTGGCTGCGTGTGTTTTCTTCTTTAAAAGGCATGATAATCTGCTGTGATAGATAACTTTGAAGTGTATTTGTTTGACATTTTTATTGATATGGAAATGTATCTATTTATCTCCAAAAAGTAAACTTGGATGCATGATTAAAGTCTTTATATTTTGAATGACAAACAACAAATTTGAATAATCTATCAAGGGAACCAAAAATTTGATTGGTCTGAACCAATTTATGATGGTGTAGAGCATAAAGGGGTTAATTCAAATACACAATACAAAAAGTACTTAGTTTTTTTGAAGTTTTTTTTTTTTTATTTCTCGACCATAAAACTGTATATATATTTAAGCTCAAATTTAAACCGTTTCAGCGTCTCTGCACTCAAATCAATTGAAGATGGAACTCTGAAAGCGTACAGAAGTCGTACCAGTAGCTATTAGCCTATTAGTGTATATACCAAATATAGTATTCGCAGTTAGCAGTGATTTGAGCGGTCTCAACATTTAGCAGGGTTTCCATGTCTTCTATTTGTCAGAGGCGGTTGGAAACTGGATTTTCTTTGCCCAGACATGAAGATGGATTGGCATGCTATTCTTCTATTATATCATTATTATTATTATTACTATGTATACTAACTATAGGGGTTCTTCAATCCATGAGGTGATTGATTCAAGATTGTAAAATCATAGAAAGGACTGTTGCTGAACTATAAGTGGAGTGAGTTGCTTTGTTCATTAAGTTCTACTTAGATGATTGGCTCTTTATGAGGATTTTCCAGAACAAGCTACTTTAATTCTAGATTACATGCAATATTTTCTTTCTTTTACATTATTTTCTTTTCCCATTCAAATCACAAAGTATCAAGTTCCTTGTTTATTGTTGATTCCAGCTGCAGTGCAGCCAATTGACATTGTTGTCTTACAGTCGAATTCCCTCGATTCTGTTGTGAGATTGAGAGATATGGTTTTGTTCACAGATATGAGAGACATTTAAATATATAATTGGAAAAGTAGGCGGGGGTTATGAAGAATTGTAGCTTGAATTTCAAATAGAAACAAAAATGCCGCGGAGAACACTTGTTACAATGAACTCAAAACTCAGACATAGCTTCAAGGTTTTGTATACATTAAGTTACTAAAACAAGTTACCAATCTCGTACATAAACCCATAGCTACAGAAAATGAATTACGTTGCCCATTTCAATAATATTTACTTCTCAAATAATTTATTTATCAATATTCTTAATCACATTGAAGGTTTCATTTATTTATTTGGCAATTTAAAGCTCTTCACTTATGTTTTTGATAAATTTGGGTAGTTATGGGCATTATATAGTGAATATGATTGCGTTCCAATTTGTTAACAAGTTTATGACATTATTAAGTTAATACGGGTGGATAGACTACGTCATGATCCATTAGATTTAGATTTAGGTAGTGGTTAGATTAGAGGATAAATTCACCGAAGTAGAAAAGGATGAATTTGAGGGAAAAGAGATGGTATAAATAAATTGTAAAAACAGAAATAACTGATTATTGTTAGAGTAGTTATTTCAGAAGGATGATGCTGTCTTTAAATAAGGGAGGAAAAGTGTATTAAAATATGAAAAAAAAATTAATACTAATATTTCTGTATCATCTTCATTGTTCCCTCACATTCATTTTTCTCTCTTCTCGATCCTATCTCTCGAAGATCTTCTCTCTCATCTCGATTTTTTTCAATTGAATGCTTCTGCATCTCAATCAAGGATCGTGGAACCACTTTTTCTCCACTCGCTATACTTAGGGGCCTACTTCCGATTACGTTAATCTCTCAGTTCGTACTGAGAATTTTTATCCTATCAATTGGTATCAGCTTGTCGATTTTGGGAAGACTTTGCCATGGCTGAAGCAACATGTAACGCAACTGCACTCAAAGATTTGGAAGAACGCCTTAAGTCAAAAATGGAAGCACGATTTGCAGATTTCGCAGGCTCACTCCAGAAATTACTAGGGGGATCAATAAAAGAAACCATGCAAGAAATGAGGCAGCAAAATAATAGATTTAATCAAGGATGGGGAACACATTAGACATTTTCAACATATTCTTGTGGCACGCGTCTAGTCAGGATTAATTTTCCCCGATTCGGAAGACAACATTGCCCAGGGATTGTACCAATGTGAGAACTTTTTCTTGGTTGATTACACATCAGATGAGTTCCGTGTTAAGCTAGCAATTGTACAAATGGAAGGGAAAACTTTGCAATGGCATACAGCCTTGGCCAAAACCACTAATTATTCTCAATTACGATGGCAATATTACAAGCAATTGCTTCTTGAATGATTTGCAAAGGTTGATGAAGATCCTATGGAGGAATCGATGCGACTACGTCAAAGGAAGACAGTCGTGGAATACTACGAAGAGTTTAATATAATAATCTCTCAATTACAATTGCCAGAAGATTATATGCTGAGTTGTTTTCTTGGGGGTTGAAAAGGGACATTCAAATGCTCGTAAAGATGTTCCAACCATCATTGGTGAGCAAGGCCTTTTCATTAGCAAGACTGTATGAAGCTGCAAATACTTCTACGATACCAACCACAGTAATACCTCGTCAACAGAAAGGGGTATTGGGGTCTAACCAAATAGGTCGGCTACCTCTATGTCAAAGGTGATCCTGCGGAAGGTTATAAGGATAGGGGGAGGGGTCTAACAGCCACCTATATGAATGAACGACGTGCGAAGAGACTGTTATTTTTGTGATAAACCTTATCCATAAGAACATAGTTTGACCCACAAGAAAATGTAGGTTTATTTCATGGAGGTCGGGGATGATGAGGGCGAAAGACAACAAGATATGGAATTACTGACGAAATACAACCTCAAATATCAGTTAATGCACTCACACCATGAGAGTTACGGGATATTTTCAAAAATGTCCTTTGCACATATTAATTGACAGCGGAAGTACTCACAACTTCCTAGACGTCCAGGTAGCCAAGAGTTATGGGTGTAAAATTAAAGAAAGAGAATCCATTAATGTGGTTGTGGCTTATGGATCTAAGTTGGCTATATCATTAGTAGTGAAAGATTTTACATGGTCCATACAGCTAACCATCTTCACGTTAGATATGCTGCTCATGCCATTGGGTTGTTGTGACCTTGTGTTGGGGGTGGAATGGTTGGTGACACTGAGAAATATTACTTGGAATTTTTTCAAGTTAACCATGGATTTCAATGTTGGTGGCAAGCGACATGTATTGAAGGGATTGGGTTCCACAAAAATAACAACAGCTAATAAGCAGAAGGGGATAAGAGCCATTAATAATGGCTCCACATTTCCATGTTACAATTGTGCACTTCAGAAGGGAATTTATCTCAATCACTTACTACACATGCATGGTTGAAGATACTCCCGAGTACGTAACCCAGTTGTTGAAAGAGTTTGGGGAAGTATTCAAGGGCCTCAATAGTGCCGCCATTTAGGACTGGGCATGATCATCGAATTCCTTTATTACAGGGATCTGATCCTGTAAATAAACGTCCTTATTGTTATGCAGGGAGGCAAAAGGATGCTATAGAAAACTTGGTGCAAGAGTATGTTAAATGTGGAGTGATCCAAGAGAGCACCAGTCCTTATGTAAGCCCAGTAATGTTGGTGGGGAAGAAAGATGGGACATGGAAGATGTGCGTGGACAATAGGAAATTAAATAAAAACACGGTCAAAAACAAATTCCCTATACCCTTGATAGATGATTTGTTGGATGAATTACAGGGTTCCACCATCTATTCTAAAATTGATCTTAGAGTAGGATAAAATCAGGTTTGTATGGAACCTACAGACATCCACAAGACAGTGTTTCGCACACATCACGGTCACTACGAGTACGTCGGTATGTAGTTTGGTCTGACTAATGTGTTGGTTACCTTTCAAGGGCTTATGAACAAGGTATTTGGGGAAGTTCTTGCAAAAAAAAATTTAGTTTTCTTTGACGACATACTCATTTACAGTAAAACTTTGGAGGATCATGTAATCATCCACTTACGATTGGTGCTTCAAGTTTTGCAGGATAATTTCTCATTTCCCAGGAGGTCTAAGTGTTTATTTGCTGTGGAAAGGTGGAGTATCTTGGTCACATTATCCTCCTTGGTGGGGTGGCAACTGATCCTAGCAAGATCGAAGCTATGAAAGGATGGCCAATAGCACAAATTGTGAGGCAGCTATTATCAGCCTTTGCAGTACAAAAGTCGAGGCATTACCTTCTAAATAACAAATTTATAGTGAAAACTGATCAATATAGCTTGAAGTATTTGTTAGAACAAAACCTTAATACAACCTTTCAGCAAAAATGGTTGATCAAACAACTGGAATTTGATTTCACTATAATGTATCGAAAGGGGTAGGAGAATGTAGTTGTTGATGCTTTATCACGAAGGGAATGGGGAGAATGTAATCAGATCATAACCCAGTTGTTGCACTCTGATTTAGTAGACAAAATTCGATTAACATGGACTGAGGATGTGACTCTACGGAAACTGATCAAGAAGATGGAGGATGGAATCACCACTCCAAAACACTATCGTTGGCACAATGGAGAATTGAGAAGTAAGGGGAAGTTGGTAGTGGGGAAAATGGTGAATTGAGGAAGGAATTATTGCAGTGGCTACATGCTTCAGCAACTGGAGGGCATTCAGGTATTAGTAAGAGGATAAAATCCATATTATACTGGAAAAGATTGTTGAGTGATGTCAGAACTTTCATCCAGTAATGCAGTGTGTGTCAACAATGTAAACATAACACCGTAACAGCTCCTGGACTGCTTCAACCTTTGCCTATTCTATGGCTAGTGTGGCAGTATGTTACCATGGATTTCATGGAAGGGTTGTCCAAATTGGAAGGGAAGCAAGTAATGATGTGGTCGTGGACAGATTAAGCAAGGCAACACATTTCATTGCGTTATCACACCCTTATACTACAAGAGAGGTTGCTCAGAGATTTCTGGACCAGATTTTCAAACTCCATGGGTTTTTGGAAACTATCACGAGTGATTGAGATCCCATTTTTTTAAGTTAATTCTGGCAGGACTTTATGCGCCTTCAGGGAAGGAGTGTGACCAAACATTAGCTGCCTGAAGACGCCACGTGGAAATTCTTTTATGATCTGAAGAAAGAATTTCCAGGTTTTAATCATTTGAGGATAAGGATTATTTCATGCGGAGATAATTTATATAAATAAATTGTAAAAATAGAAATAACTGACTACGGTTAGAGGAGTTATTTCGGAAGGATGATGATGTCTTCTAAATGTATTAATTCATAATTTATTTACATATAATTTTTATAAAAAAATTCATATAATATTATGATAATTGTGAAATAAATAAATATAAATCATTAAATTTAGTGATGAATGAGTGGTTGATGAAAAAATAAAAAAATATATTTAAAAGATTAATTTAAGAATAAAATAATAATTCTTATTAAAACACTTTCTTAGTTTTTCCCTGTGGATTGCATTTCCTTATTTCTTCTCATCGTTTTTCTCTTAAACCAAATTTATTTAATTTATTCAAATTATCTTATATGTCCGTGTTAACGGTAGATAGAGGCTTCAAGTAATCTGTGAAACACAAGTCCTTCTCTTTCCTTTTTCTCCTTAATATATCCCGTCTTCTCTTCTCTCTGCGGCGCCCTTCTCCCTCTCAACTCAGCCACGCCGCCACGCCTCTCCCCCCTGTCAAACTCAGTCACACCACCAAAGGTGCGAAGCCCCACGCCGGCCGGAAGACGCGAAGAGCCACCACCACGCGAAGAAGACGAAGCAGCAGTCGCCGCCGCCACCACCACGAAGATGACGAAGTTGCCTTGAAGGATGCATCTACCGAGAAGGAGATGACTGGTTGCCACTGTGCCACTGCCTCCCTTGACCGATGCCGCCACCTTGAAAGACCAGTGGCCGACGTCCAGGTTAGCTAGGTTGGTCCTCCCCTTCCCTCCCTCACTTCAGTGGCTTGTTTACTGTTCTTTTGGGATTATTTTTAATAGGAAAATGGTATTTTGCTAACCATGACAACCCAATTATAATAGTATATCAATGATTTTCTACCACCCCCTTAATCTTTCCTTTTGATCATGCATTTTCAATTTGTCAATGAAATTTGCAAATTTCATTGTGGAGCAAGTGTTGAAGGGTAAGTTTCGAAGCTGCATTCCTCTGACACATGAGTAGCATGACCTCTTGTTCTTATCACTTCGTTCTTATGCCAATTTTATTCTGTAAAATTGATCTTGCTCGTATGTTTGTTTATGTTGTTCGTCTGTGCTCGTTTATGTACTTGTATTGAATAATCTAGAATAAATTCCCAGAAGGAATTCGAAACAAACGATAAAAATATAGATAGGTTAGTAACTGTTCGACGAAATGCCTGAACCAGGTATTTCCTCACCGTACCTTTTTCACTGAACGAATCAACAAATCAATTCGTCATTGTTTGAGAATATCCATTCAATGCTTTAAAACGTGATTCTCTCTCCTTTTCTCTGGCCATTCAGAGGGTTATGTTCTATGAAACATCTAATCTATGTTTCTCTGTCTCACTGTTTTGCTTCAACCTATCCTTATTCTTTTCCTGTTTTCATCTGAACTTTATTCTCGGGTTTTTATTCAAAGTTTAAGTCTTTTGAACAAAATGATTGTCATTGAAGACCGAAACACTGAATTTCTTTTTTAACGTCAATTTATAATATATAAATATAATTGAGATAAAAACCTTGTCTTAAAAGCTGGATTTGGAAGATTAAGTTAGACATTTTTCTATTTCTAATATGGTATAAAGTCTATCCTAGTCAGATTTGTTGGTCTATTACTCCACCCATTATCGATCTATCCTTAATTTTCAATTTCAAACTCTTGATAGGCGTGAGAGGGTGTGTTGGAATTCCACCGTAGACTAGAAATATGACCAACTACTAATATATAATTGAGGTGAAAATTTCATCTTCAAAACCGAATTTGTAAGGTTAAGTTAGACATATTTCTAGTTCTAATAGTGACATTGAAATATTAACCGTGTAGTGATAATTTTCTGAATTGTGCATCAGTTGAGATTAGGAAGGAAAAAGGGGATAGGAAGCTTAACCTTGAATTGCAGTGTTACTTATGTATTTGTTTTGTTTTATATTTTTCCATTATTGTGATGTCGTTGACTCTTTCTAAGCTCTCTCTTATTGACAGTTTACCTCTGCATCTACTCAATACTTGTTAAAACTCCAAGCCTTTAAGTTTGAAAAAATTGGTCTAAGATAATGGAGTTGAACAACTTCTTCTAACATTTAAGTTAATTTGAAATCAGTTGGGGTTGTGGGAGATATTGGTAGTGGTCTGAATATTATTTAATACCTTTCTGGAAACCCATTCAGTTCACACCTTATTTCTATTGGTGGTGTAAACTTGCCATATAGATTATACTGCGTAAGATTTAAATAACTCGTTTTTCATAGAGTCCCACTTTTAAAATAGAGATGTCATTTTTTGTGGATCTGTGACTTGTATAATGGGAGAAAATAAAGGAATTGGCTGATTGGAGGAAGTTTTGTATAAATACCTTATACCAGTCATCATATTAATGTAGAAACAAGGAAGATTTATTTAATTAGAAAAATGGGAAAGTTTGGGACTTCACAAGTGGAATCTTGCATTCAAGGGAGTAACATGGGAGATACATTGAAAATGTATTTAGGTGAAATGGTGAATGACTGAAGCAAAATATTTCTAGTACGAATTGTTTGCTTCTTAGTCATTTTGTTCGAAGTTACTTATTTGGAGGCCTTTAAGAATTCTATATTTTTAGTATTAAGTGTTCTTTTAATTGATTTTTGCATATTTTTTATCCTAAATTGTACAGATATATTAATTTATTATTATGTCAAAGTTCAATTACATGGCTGTTCATATACGGTTTACTGCTACTTACAAGTGAGAAGACTACTTGAGCTACTATAAGCATTGATTTGTAGCAAGATGGCAGATTGAGTAACATTCACCTAGTGTAAGTTTTCATTTCCTTTTGATTTTCATCTCAATATTTAAATATTGTCAAAATGGATTAATGCATGTTCTAATTGGTTTATAGTAAGATGTCTATTTCACCTCATAATGTACTTGATTAAGCATAGAATTGATATGGTAGCTCGCTTTCTGGAAGCTGAGTCTGAAACCATTTCAATTTTATGAGGATTCCATTTGTTAATTCAGCAAATATTATTGATTTTAATAAGAAAATGCTTGAGGTTGGAACCTCTCGTATCCTCTCACTTCAAATTTGACATCAACTAGTCTATTTACTTATAAATTATCTTTTGTTTTTGTTTTTGTTTTTGTTTTTATTCAATCCTTTTCAAGTAAACTAATATAATTTAAGCACTGTAATTCTTATTAAGACTTTGAGTCATATAATTTACTTCATGGTGGTGTTAGTAAGCGTACAAAGTTGCTCATCTTTATAAATTGAGTTGTCCAAGCAAATGGGGTGTACTGGTAGAGCTTTTTCCGAACATTGTTGTCACTTTTTGGGGGAACTTGAATCTTTTTCTCCTTTTTCTTGCAAGAAATTACCTGTTATCTGCCATTGCTATTTAATTGAGCTTTGTTAAAATGCACTGACCTGGATTTGACACATTTGTTTACTCATTTTGTAAGTCTAAATGGCACCAAGATGGAAAGGAAAAGATGCACAAGCTAAAAAGGATGCAGAAGCTGAGGCGCTCAAGGAACCCATGTCAAAGATTGTATCTCAACTTAAGTCTTCTCTAGTTCAATCAGATATTTGCGGATTTCTCTCTGATAATAATGTACAGTTAGCAGTGGGAGCAGAACAACTTGATCTGTTTGATAAAGCATGTTTTGGTCGACCTGTGAGAACAATTGAAAAGGACAAACACTGGTTTCAATTAAGCTTTGAGGAGGCATTCTACCTATGCTATTCCTTGAAATGCCTTAAGATTAATGGCAGTGATACTGGTTCCCAAAATGATGAAGAGCTGTGGCATTACATGAAGTCCCGTAAAGAAACATTCCCTTGTTTCTACAAGGCTTATTCCCACCTTCGAATGAAAAACTGGGTAGTGAGGTCAGGATCTCAGTATGGTGTAGACTTCGTCATCTATCGACATCATCCAGCTCGTGTCCATTCTGAGTATGGTGTGCTTGTTTTATCAGATGGGGAAGATAAAGATCTAAATGGAAGATTGAGAATATGGTCTGATGTTCATTGCACAACTCGACTTGTTGGAAGTGTTGCAAAAATCTTATTGGTTTTACATGTCAATAGAAATGGTAACAACAACGACTCTCCGTTATGTCTGGCAAACCATACCGTTGAGGAGCGCACAATCACCAGATGGAGTCCAGAGCAGAACCGTGAGACGATGTAGATCATACTAACACTGATAACAGAACAGGGTAATACTTGACAAACACATTACCTTCTACTTTCAAGGTTGCCAAATGTGTTTTTCAGAAGAATAAAATAATCTCAAATATGATAAAGTAGAAATATTTATCTTATTGTTTTGGCCAATGATAATATTGTTATTTAAGCATAATAATTCTCAAAGATTCTCATTCTTCTAAATGTCATTGCTGTCTCATTTTTCTGAAGGTTCTCTAGATTCGGTTCAGCAGAAACTACACACCTAGTATTCCTTTGTTCCTTGTGTTTATGGTTTGAACCTAATGTTGAGGCAGGCTCTGGTGAAACCACATCATTTTATACTTTGATTTAAATTCGCCTTTGGTCCTTCTGTTATGTGTGCTCCTGTTTCTTTTAATTTTAATTGCTCAATTAGTCATAATTAGGATTTATAGTTTTTAATGGTTTAAATTAAATTTCATTTAACAATTAATAAAATTGTAATGGAAGTATAATATATTATGATTTGTATAGATTAGGAGAAAATGTGTTAAATATTTAAATAAAACAAAATGTGATTAAATATATTGTTTACTACTTTTATATAAACATTATATATTTTTTCTTTTGTAAATATATAAATTATTATACTTCAAATGCATCTCTATTATTGGATGAGTTTTTAAGATAAAAAATTTAAGTTAAGCAATTGGAAAATTATAACTATCTAGTCTGAACAATTATTTAAAGAATCAAAACTAAATATAGTAATTCAAAGTGTTGTTAAGTCTATTATAGTTTTGTGGGTATTGTATAATACCTACATTCGTGTTTGGTTTGATATTTAGAATTTCATATTTACGTTTTGTGAACAATTGAAATTTGTTAAAGTTAATCTGGTTTAAATGTGGATCACAAATTTATTTTTAACTCGTTTAGCTTGTATTTGGATTGGGCCATAGATTTGTGGGAGTAGATTTGAGGTAATTTAAAGTGGATATTGTTTGGATTGAGGGATAGGTAGATTTGAAGGGATTTGAGTAGAATTATAGTAAGTGATGGGATTAAATATAAAATAATTGAATAATAATATAAAATAATTGAATAATAGTTTTTATAGTGTAATGACCAAAATATCTTTATTAGATAAATTAAATAGAAATGATAATTATGATATGATTAAATATAAGAATGTTAATTAATTTATATTATATATAATATTTAAATATATTAATATTATTTTATATATCAAGTATAATTAAAATTATTTTATATATTAATTATAAAATATTTTTTATTTTAGTTTAATTTATATATTTAAATTTTGTTATATTTTGAATAAATATTTAACAAAGTAAAATTATATTATCTTAATAATAATTTGTAAATAATGTATATTTTCCTAATTTTTTATTTCACATTAAATATAATAATTAAATAACATTGAAATAAAATACGTTATTGAATGTGCAATAATATTAAATAGAATAACATTTTAAGTTGATTGAGTCATTGAATAATACAAAATAATGTGACATAATATAGCTTCTCTGATGATAATGTGCTTACTGAATAAGTTTGTTTGTCGGTGCTTGTCAACGGCATGAGTCTTTACGGCAACAACCTACCGCTTCACTAAGTGTGTCAACTTGGTGGTGCGTGTGGTTCAAAACTTGACTGCGGTGAACAGTGACATTTGGTCAAAAATCAAATCATTGATGAACAATGTCATTTGTTCAAAAATCAAAACAGTGGTTAAATGCAATGTGCAAATGATGGAATGAATGCATCAATAAATATTTAGATATTTTTCAATGTTTTCAAGGGGATTTGTAGTTCAAGACAGTAAAACATGAATTAAAACACATCTAAGCTATTCTACACTAAGTCAGTGCATGAAATTGAATCTAACAATGCCATAAATCTGTTCTGACCTAAAAATAATGATCTAAAGCAATTACAGAAACATTAAACCAGTAAATCAAAGCATTAAAATCTACCTAACGTGGTTGCAAGAATCGGTTTAGAAGTACTACAACCTTCTTTAAGCATAAACCATGGATGAATCCTAATTAACTCACCCTTCAAAAGACATCTGAGTGACCTACACCTCTATCCAGTTGAAAGAAACTTTCCCTCACCAATTAGAACTCACAAACAGCCAGGTTTCAAAGCATTTAATCGGCAGAAATCATAAAGAAAACATAGTTAACTGCATCAAACTTAAAAAAAAAAAACAGAAAACAAGAACATAACTCAAGAACTCATATGCAAAATCATATTTATGGATCTATGATCGGTAAAACCTATTCTAAATCATGAAAACAGTAAAGAAAAGCAATAAAGGATGGTGGAAGAAGAAGATCTAGATCATAAACACAAAGAATCAATGGCAGAATTGAAAAACATACTTGGAAGCGTGCATCATAAGCAAAAAAGAACAATGGTACGTGAGAGAAAACTTGAGAGAAAATGAAACGATTTGAATTTGATCTAAATTCTGAAACTTCAACTACACGTTTTTTACATCAAGTTAATCCTATTTAAACTCTAACTATTGTACCAATTGCATAATACAAAGTTTAGAACAGTAGGTGATCTAATAACTTGAGAGGGAGCTTGAATAGTCGCGCTAAGTTAGCTTCAGTGCAGTTCCGCGAATTTTAAACATGTGCAGTATTTTTAATTCTTGTTCAAATTAAATGATTATGGTCTCCTTTGAAATCTTGTTAAGTTAGTTTTAAAACGCCACCATTCTTACTATTTTCAGAGGTCTAATGAATTTAGGAGACTCAAATTACTGAAGCATGTCCATTGGGATGCCCTGGTGTGCTTAACCTCTCTTTGATAATTTATGAAAAATCCAATTTAGATTCGATTTGAATGGTTCTGGATACTTTGGAAAGCTGAATGTGTCTAGTTTACAATACTTCAAGAATCATGATTTTAGGGGCTTTGTAGAAAAAATGATAAATAAAACAATGGACCAATGTTAGTACCCGTATACAATAAAATATTGCTAATTTATTGTTTTTATGCAGAGTTTTGTGTTAAGGCTTCCAAAGGCCTAATAATACAAATCATGGTTAATTAAGCTTTATTAACACATTATAAACAATAACATAACATTACTAGTTACTTTAGATGTGCTGAAAATTAGTCACATCAATTGGTTGAATATTTGTTACTCTCCCCCATCCTATCCATCATTTGGTGGATCCGTGTGTTCATCGCTTCAAACTGTGAATTCAAGTCAACATCGACCATGTGGGCTTTCCTCTTGGAGTCCCAGGATGAAGAGGTGCCACCGGATGGGGTAGCTGGGACAGATGGAGAGACATCAGGATTATACGAATCGATGAAGGAATGTAATCCTGATGGAGGAAGGGATTTGTTGCATCTTCATTTAGGTCAACATCCAAGTGTACTATGAAACCACGTCATTATCAAACCTATCGTACGATCCCAGTCATGTGCCCCATGGCACAAACAACTTCCCATAGCTCTTCCAACAAGTCATAGAACTTAATGGAGGTGACCTGCCATTTGGCAACAAATGGTTTTGCTTTAGATAAAATATTTGCACATACGTTCAGACATTGTTGGCTATTATAATTAAAGTGTAAAATAATTACTTTAACATTAATACCTGAATCAAGTCTTACCAGACTTCAGGTTCAGCTTCAAACACCCTTGTGGCCTCATTCCATGCAAAATCGCTTAAGTCACTAAACAAATCATGGACTTCACGACATCAATCTCTCAAACTTTTATGTTTGTTCTTTACATTATTCTTGTTAATGCAAGAATAACTAGCTTGTCTTAACGCTTCTACAATGTTTGTATAGGTCTGACTATTCCAACTCTCATCTATCTTATTGTCAGCCCGAGCTTCGTAATCATGGCAATTAGCAATTGTAGATCCATAACTTCAGTCCATTTTGTAAATTCCCGCATGTTATTGCTTGAATCAACCTATCATTTCCCTTTATTCATTGTTAGCTTGGAAACAACTAAGTTATGATACTTTATGTCATTGCTATTATGGATGGAGGCAATAACAATTTTTACATTAAATAAGTGATGATCATACAACATTATAGATCGTCAATTACACAGAAAAATACATGAACATTAAGAGAATCAAGAAAACATAATGGACATAACATGATTTATTGCTCATAATCATGTCATATATGGGTTGTTATCATATCCCTTAAGTTAGCCCCTTCTCTATAATCATTCTCTTGAATTTGTGTTGTAGACCTATCATCTGCATGTTTCTTTAATTCTCGGTCCACTTCATGTAGAAAAGATTCATTGTTATCTACTCCATGTAAAAAATTGTGCAAAATGCAGCATGCCAAAACTATATTCCTCGATGTTTCAAAATTGTGAGGTTCAACCCCACTTGCTATAATGGGAAATCTTTTCTTTAACACACTGAATGTCCTCTCAATTAAATTCCTCAATGAGGAATGATGGTGATTAAATAATTCTCGAGGAGTCATAGGACCTCTTTGCATATACTCCTTAAGGTGGTACCTTACCCCCCCCCCCCCCCAATATAGAGTTATAATTTGAGATGAATCCTACATCTCCCAAATAATATTTACCTACACAAAAGAACATTAATTAGTAATAGTTATTAACTGTTTACTTGAAGAAAGAAATAAACGTTGTTTTCGTCAAATGCTGCATACCTTCTGGTATGGACAGTTGACCCTCCCTTGTTAAGGCATCTTTTAAAATTCGCGAGTTAGATGCAGTATCTTCCCACCCTATTAGCAGATATATGAATTTCATGTGGAAATCACATGTCGCAAACATATTTTAGGTTGGTCAATCTTTTCTATCATGAAAACGATGGGCTTTCGATCGTTGTACTTTAACACGAACATGGGTTCCATCAAGCGCACCAAGACAATCCTTAAAATAGGGATAAAATCTGATATTGTTATAGATGTGTGCTTGCACATTTGTTCCTGATGGTTGAACAAAAAATTCTTCCTCTAATTCAAT